TTTGAAACAACCTGGAATAAGGAAGAAAACAAGTGGTGTTTCTAAGCAACCAGAATTGCTGTCTCAAAGACAGACTCCACAACTCAAAGAATTTACTCTTGGAGAGTGCCTAAGCCCTTACTCAAAATCTACTTTGACATAGCCTGTTTATCAATATATCCTGAGAACATTAATGACTGACGTCATAAAACAGTAACTAACATCCACGATGGAATGATCCCGAGTCTCAAGTACAAGTTAACGCACGTTCTGTAAATTAGAACAAATTAGAAGAGGTAGTGGGCAGTTCATTCCCGGAACAGTTCCCTCCAAAATAGATGAAACAGAAAAAGTTTTAACACTTAAGAAATGGCCTTATTAGTTTACAAAATACATTTTTGTGGAACACATCATTTCTAAATAATGCAGAACAAATTTTTCAATTGATCCACCAGCATTACTTTGTGATTTTAAATTTACTTTACTTTTAAAATTAAATGTGTTTACACAACAGTTTGGAGATAACTAAAGAAATCCTAGGATATCACAAAACCTATTGGGGTCCACGTGATGCCATGGCTAGAGAAAGAAAGTCTGGCTAATAAGTCAAAATTAGCCTAATTGACTCTGAATTCAGATAGCCTGGGTTCAAATCATTATTCTGCCACTGATGATCTGTGAACTTGGTCAAACTACAAAATTGTACTCTCCCTTAGTTTCCTCATTTGTGAAAAGGGGTTAATAAATGCAGCCACATTTTAGTGTAGGACACAGAGTAAAACACAATGAATCTTAGTTGTTATAACCATTTCTACATATTTTTCATTTTATCAATGCCAGAAACACATTCATTAGATGAATAGAGAGAAATCAGAGAGAACTCCAAAATCTTCACATTGGAGAGGAACTAAAAGATTACTCGGTGAAGGGAATGTAGAAACTATCTAATCCATCTGCAGTATAGGAATCCAGCATAGGAATCCCTCTCAAATTCCCTGATAATCACTTACCATCTGCATAGAAAGTTCATGGAAAGGAGCTAACTTTTACGAGTCTCTCTTTTGTGGCATGGCTCTGCCGACTTCATCCATTCACCCTACTCTACCTTTTAGAGCAACAGAGGATAAAAATTTCCACCATTGAGGGAGTGCAGACAGTGCTCCAGGTGATGTCACACCTTACATGTATCATTGCTAATCCTTATAATAACCCTAAAGAATTGATATTCTGAACTCTGTTTTAGAGATTAAAAAAGACACAAATGGCCAAAGATCTTGCCTGAGGTTATACAGTTAAGACATTTAAAAACGATGCGGTATTCTTATCAGTAATAACCCTTTACAATATTTGAAAACACATTAGTTTTCTAGAAGCTCTCTCTTTCCAACAGCAAGCAATTCCTCAGTTGTTCCTTATATGATATGAGGAGTACATTTCCTATTTGTCATCTTTCCATGAATACTATAAATATTGCTCTGAAGTGTGACACCCAGGTAAGAAGACTCTTCTCCACACAGATATTGCCTATTCCTGGTTTAGGTATTAGATATTACTCTGTTATACAGCCTAAGACATTTTTTTGCACTGTATCAAAATGTTGACTAATGTCCAACTAGAGATCAACTAAGGCTTCTGGGTTTTTTTTTCCCTTAATAAAAATGCTATCAAGTCTACTCTCTCTCATCTTGTACCCTTGCAGGGTGTTTGTGTGTTCATTAGTTTGTTTTTTTATTCCTACCACGTCTGTTAATTTCATTTTATGAATTCCATCTCAGTGTTCTGCCTTGTCAAAATCATTTTGAATCTTAATTCTGTCATCCAACCCATTAGCTCTGCCTCTCAACTTAGTGTTATTTGCAAATTTGATAACCATCCTTTCTATGTCTTCATCCAGCTTGTTGATAAAAATATCAAATAGGAAAGGGGCAAAGATATAATTCTGTAGCACGCTACCAGAGACATTTTAGTTAATGATGCTCCATCTAAACGAATAATTGTCAAGCAATAAAAAATGATGCAGGCTTTGTTTGTATAGTGTTTAATAGTTTCCAAACCCTATATTTATCATATCACACATTATTGTGATCTACCTAGCTGGGTAGACAGAGAAATTAGATTCAAGGACAACAGGCCAAGGGGAGCATGGAGTGCCTACTGTGTGCTGGAATTTTAGGAGCTTTGGAAAGACTGCTTTTCCTTCTCAAATTCCTCCTTATTCAATCAATTTCCAAGGTCAATTCAAAGGGACCTTATTCTTGTGACAAGTCAAATAGGAGTTCGCGAGCTATTAAAAATGCTTTTTTGTGTGTGTTTTTCACCGTAGCACTTATCGTACTATATGTTTTACTTATTATCTTCTTTGTTTTCTCTCTCACTAGAATGTAAGCTCAACAGGGCAGGATTTCTTTTTTCTCACTATTTCCTAGCGCCTAGGACACTATAGAGTCTCTACTCTTTATAGTAGAGTCTCAAAAAATTATAAATAAATGAATAAAATCTTTAAGGCTTATAGGTATGTCGAGTTTTGCAAAAATGTGCTATTTCCTGCAGAGCAAGTTTTGATCAATTCAGCCCCATCAAGGCAGTGAATGTCTGTGGACTGAATAAATGTGAGCTCTCTGCTACTGACCACTGCCCTCACCCCTTGTGTCCTCTGTCACCCTTCGTGCTACTCTGACCCATGATATAGGGGGCAGGTGCTTCCCCCATGTTCTCCAAGTTTCCTAACACTTTCTCCATGGGGCCCAGGTCTAATGCTGACTTTCCATTCTAGTCCCAATTCAAGTTTGTCTTCCAATGACCAGTCTAGTCTGATGGTTTTTCTGAAATGAAAAACACCTTGCCTGAGACAGAAGTCCCAGATTCTGAAAGCCTGCCCTCAGTTTCCATTACTGCTCATTTGCATTCCTTGTTGCTTAGATTCCTTAATAGAGATGCCCACTCCCTTCACTTTGTATCTCAGTGTGCTGCTTGTCTGTAGCTTCACTGTAGATGCTGTAAAGTCCCAGGCCAAAATGAAGATGCGTTAAGCTCCAGGCTCAGTTGGGTCTGACCAAGCCCACATCCCTCTCATTGTCTGCCCTATCTCATATTCTTCTGCAATGACCCCAAGGTATTACAGACGGGGATGGAGGGGGAGGGAACATGAGGTCACTGATAGATGGAAGATAAGACACTTAAAAGCCAACTGTGCCCTCTGCTTGGTTTTGCACTGAAGACCCCTACTTATATTATTACTGAAATTGTTTGTATATGTACCCCTTCAGATATGATTAGGAAATAAAATACGTGCAAAACACCAATGGATTTTTTTTCTTTTGTTAGGCTGAAGAAAGAGAAGTGACCTAATTATTGTTTTCAACTACATGATGAATTGTGTCCACCTGTTTTTCTCCTCCACCAGGAATAGAAATAGAGGAAACAGGCTTAATCTGTAGCTTGAGCATTGTGGTTTAAATATGAAGGAGAATTTCCTGACAGTGAGTAGTAGATGATGGAATTTGTTTCTTAGGAGGTTTAGATTTCCATCTGGTTAGGGTATGTCTGAGGCAGTTGTCTCCGAAGGTGGCAGAGGTGGGTGTATATGTAGGTTAAACGACCTCTCAAAGATTCTTATTCCTAAGAATTGATGATTAACTTTTTGAAGAAAAAAAAAAAGAAGGACTACAATGACTTCATGCTTTCCTAATATTTTTTAATGTAGGATAATATGAATTTTTAATTTATTGGGGGAGTACATTTAAAAATAACTTCGAAAATGAATGTTCAGCCACTTCTAGAGTGTAGGAGGGCAGATCTTTGAATTTTGAAAAGATTGAACATGGTTTCCTAAAATATATTCCTGAGTTTGCCCTAGATGAAGTTGTTATTTATCCAGTATGTTTTATATTTCTAAAATTGAGTTTGAATTTGCAATGAATATTTTTTTCACGTGAAAGCATTTGGAGTGGACAATATTAATAGCAGCGATCTTAATGCCCATAATCTTTGCCCATGAGTGAAAAGTTTTGTAGACTTAGCAAGTAATCATAGTTACTCAACTAGTCCAATGGTAGATAATGGTAATAGAAATAAAAATAACCCAGGGACTGAATTGTACAATATGGCACCCTGAAACACACGATATATTTAGAGAATAAATGAAGTAGAAATCACTCACAGTAGATAAGGAAGGAAGATAAGATTCCAAGTGGCCTCAGAGTTACTTTAGACATCTACATAAATATCACAGTATTGCAACTCTGCTAAACTCACATATGGCACCTGCATGAAAACTACTCTCTCAAAAGTAAGTGCAAAATGTTGAAAATGTGAACTTTTGAATCTTGATAGAAAATGTTAAATGTTAAAGACTGATAACTGAAGAAAAGACTTTATGATAGTAGGTTAAATACTGAGAACCACACTACCCTGCACTGAGAAATCTGTGTGCCTTTCAAGTTAGAAGATGACTGCTTACATTTATGGTCTTGATTCTATTTGAAATCTGATTTGTACAAATGGAAAAAGAATAACTTAATTTGTACCATCAACAATGTTTTAATGATTTAATTAACAAATTGTATTTAACAAATTGTGAAAGAATACTAAAATTATGCTAAAGAGGCTATGTCAAATGCTGGCATTTTTATAATAATTTAGACAATGTGAATTAATCTTCAGGTTAGACTGTTCTTTCTTAAATATACAAAGGAATGCCAAAGGCTCTTTAGACATATCTAGAACAGGTTACATCGTTAGGGACGTCACTGGAGCGATGTTTCCCCTTCTTTCTAGTTTTGTTTTAAAAAGGAAAGTGATTCAGGAATCAGTCAGTCAGGGCATATAGAATTAACTAATGTCTTCCTAAAGAGTAGAAGTTAAAGTTTGAGAAATCTCTTAGGTACTATACGAATGTAAAAAAAGGGCTGGCTTGGTGGTGCAGTGGTGAAGTTCACGTGCTCCACTTCGGCAGTCTGGGGTTTGCTGGTCTGGATCCCGGGCATGGACCTAGCACTGCTCATCAAGCCATGCTGTGGTGGCATCCCACATAAAGTAGAGGAAGATTGGCATAGATGTTAGCTCAGTGCCAATCTTCACTGCCCCCTCCCCAAAACATGTAAAAAAAAAAAGTTTAAGAGTTTCACAATTCCAGGCAGCATTGGTGCATTACAGGTAGAAGTCACAACTCATATGTGACTGAAGTTCATGTCACTATGGGAATTGTATTACTTTTATTTTCCTTTTCTGACATTCTTCTGCCTATTTACTGTGTCTGCCTCTCTATCATTCCTTGGGCCCCAATATGATTACATCTAGCCCATGTTTTACTTTCCTCAATATGATACGGCTTTATTCAATATCTTGGGTAGATCTGCATATTATCAACTTAACTCTTGACTTCTTTTCAGTACCAGTAGCAGACTGAGAGGATGCACTTTAGAGTTGTATGTTCTGGATTTGTACGAGATTAAAAACTTTAGGGATAAAATTGTAGGGGGTTCTACCTCATGTGTTTGAAAATAAATGATTTGGATGAAGGATTCACACTGAGAAATCATACTCTACCATTGAAAAATAATCTTATTAGGTCATATTTAAATATGCTAACAAAGGGAGATTTTAGCTTAAAAAAGATGAGGTGAGAAAGAGTTTTGAGAATGAATCTATTAGTTATAAGATCCACTGCTATATAAACTCTTAAAAGTAGGGAAAGCTGTGAGGATTTTAACACCTTCTGGCATAGTGCCAGTTGTCCACCCTGCAAAATCTACTTACTCTTCCTCCTGGGAGTATGGTCACACAACTAGAGACTACTTTATCCAAGCTCCTTTGCTGCAAATGCCATAGGACAAAGTTCCTTGCCAGGAAACATGAGGGGAAGTGAGGTGTGCAACTTTGCCCTCACTTTCTTGCTCTGGGCTTACCTCCTTTTCACGTCCTGTGAGCTGGAGCACAGACATATTCGAGACCGAGCTGGACCGTGGGAGGAGGACCATGCCCTAGGACGTGGTAGAGCAACAAGATACAAGAACACGGTCCCTTGATAACTGAGTGGAGTGGAACCACTCTACCAACCTGGCTGCTCGACTGGAAGCGTGCATCTACTTTTTTAATCCATTGTATTTCAGAGTATCTTTAATACAGAAGCAGATTTGTCATCTAAATTATGATACTTTATGGACAAATACCTCAATCCAAGAAAAAATATTAAGGCAAGATGTTAAATAATTTTGATAATAAGGTGAGGACTAGTAAGAAAGGCTTTAAGTTATGTTCATGTTTATATTTTTATATCTTTATTCCTTTCTCCATACTGTTTGCTGCCCCCAGGAGACCAGCCTGCATGGATTATAGAAACAGACTTTCTTGCCCTCTGATTTCTGGTTGGGTTTGACCAGTAGGGAGTCTTGGCAAGTGATGAGAGGTAGGTGAATGAGGTCAAGTATTTACTTCCCTGGCTCTCTCCATGTATGGGTGTTTTCACTACTCTAACTGAAGGTAACTGCTTCTTTCAAGGCAGCCTCCCCCACAGGAGTCTCTCCTTTTTTTACAGTAACTGCTCCCTCTCCTGTCCCTTTGAAGTTAATAAGCCCGGGTTACAGAACCATCTCTTGAGGTTCCCCTCACCTTATCAACACCTTTATGAATTGTCACTTTGTAATTAAACTTACCCTGAATTATCTTAACTTGAGCATTCCACCTGTTTCCTGTTGGTAACCTAACTAAAACAGTATTTATGCAACATTCTTTTAAGTATAGTGTTACCTGAATGCTAGGAATTTATTTATGATCAGACAAAATTACTTTATTTTTATGAAGACGTTACTATAACTGAATGGCAATTTAAAGGAAAGCATACAATTTCTGTTCTAGATTACTAAACTTATATAACCTCAATTATTTTGTAGTGAAAACCTGACTTAGAGTCTTGTTTCCTTATTTCTACAGAAGTTTACTAAAATTACAGAGTGCTTGGGAAAAACCAATCAAACAAACAAAAACAAAGACTTCTAGAGAATAGTGTTGAAATTAGTCTACTCTAAGAAGTGATGGCTCACGTCCCCTCATGGCTCATGGAGGCTGGCAGGAGAAATAGTTTCCTCAGGTAGCTAGTTGTATATCTTGGTCCTCAAACGCTGTGGAAGAACAAACAGTTGAGCAGTGGGTTCTATCAGCTATTAACATTGGATTAGTCAAGATTCTTTCATTTTGACTCTTTTTTTTTTGAGGAAGATTAGCTCTGAGCTAACTACTGCCAGTCCTCCTCTTTTTGCTGAGGAAGACTGGCCCTGAGCTAACATCCATGCCCATCTTCCTCTACTTTATACATGGGACGCCTACCACAGCACGGCTTGCCAAGCGATACCACGTCCGCACCCAGGATCCCAACCAGCGAACCCCAGGCCTCCGAGAAGCGGAACATGCGCACTTAACCACTGTGCCACCGGCCGGCCCCTCTTTCATTTTTAAAAGAGAAGAACCCAATCAGACAATTAGATTATGACTTAGGTTTAACAGAAAAGTACTTTCTTTGCTTATATAACCGGTAAGTCCAAGAATCAATGTCCAAGGCATCATGGGTCTATACATTGCTCCTTTCTGCTTTCTTCTCTTTAGTTCGTTCTGCGCATGGACTTAATTCTGAGGCGGGCTTTTTCTGTATGTCAGGCAAGGTGGCTGCTGACAGTCTTAAAAAAATATGCATGTTTATGGCATGCGATTCCATGGACATAGAGCCCCTTTCCCTTTCAAAGTTGATGCATCAGATCTCATGGAGGGACTGTGATTGGCTCTACCTAGCTCGAGTTCCCAGTTCTCAGCTGTGTTTGTGGTGGATGCAATACTTTCAATAACGAGCTTTTTTCATGTTACCAGTCCTGTGGCTAAGAAGAATCAAGTAGCGTGACTGACAGCTCTGTAGAATCATGAAATTGAAGAAGAGTAGCTATCTTAATGTCAAATATCTCTTTTAAAATCACTCAGAAAATGAGGTCTAATGTTTTTCACACGTTTGGTGGAAAAGTTAATGTTCTTGGACACCTACTTCCGGTAATGGCAAGATTGGTAATTTTGACCAACCTTGCTTCTCAAGAAAATGAAAATGCTGAATAAAATATTTAAAAATTATCCTTAAAAGCATCAAATGGCTAGTAAGTTAGAGAGAGATTTCTGAAACAACATCCCAGAAAAAGTGAGGACTGAGCAAAGTAAAAGCAGCACTTGAAACTGCCTTTGCTCGAAGGACATTTGCTGTTCTCTTAGAAGCCTCTTTGAAACTGGATTTAGGTAAGGGTTAGCTTAAGTTTCAACCTCATGAGTTGAGGGAAACAAAAATTAAAGTTGAGGACCATTCCTAAATAGAGTTTCTGATCGTCTCTCCCTTTACATGCACACACCTTAACTGGGACCTAAAGAATGAGACCCTCAGGACAAGTTTCAACACGTTGCAAATGACGAGAATCTTGCAGTTTGTGTTTTTGCACAATGACGGAATTATGACAGAAATTTATAGCCAAAAGACAATTAGAGAATCCACAAAAGTTTGGAAGTTAACAAATATGTTTGTAGATAACCCATAGGTGAAAGAAGATTTCATAAAGAAATCAGAAAGTATTTTGAATCACACAATTTATGCATACTACTTATCAAGTATGTAGGATTCTGGTAAAAGAGCATTAGAGGGAAATTTACAGCCATGAATAAATATGATAAAAAGAACACAGTCTGAAAATCTATCAGCCAAACAGACATCTCAAGATATTAGGGAAGAAACCCAACAAGAATAAAGAAAGTAGAAGAGAACCGGCCCTGTGGCACAGCAGTTGGTTAAGTTCGCATGTTCCTCTTCGGTGGCCCAGGGTTTGCCAGTTCAGATCCCAGGTATAGACCTGTGCAATGCTCATCAAGCCATGCTATGGTAGGTGTCACACATATAAAATAGAGGAAGATGGGCATGGGTGCTAGCTCATGGCCAGTCTTCCTCAGTAAAAAAAGAGGAGGATTGGTGGCAGATGTTAGTTCAGGGCTAATCTTCCTCAAAAAAAAAAAAAGTAGAAGAAAGAAAATAATAAAGATAAAAGCAGAGATTAATAAAATAGGGACCAAACATAAGCTGATTCTTTAAAAGAATTAATAAAATTGATGCAATAATCTTTTGGCTGCAAACGACAAAAGAAGAGACATATAGTCAAGGTTTTATTTCTTAAAAAAGTAAGATTTTAAAACTATTTTTATGCCTATTTTATTATTGTCTTATAAGAATCCTAACTCCTTTAGGTGTTTTGGTGAATTGCCACCTTTGTAGTTGAGTCAGAGAATCACATATGTACGTGTATGTGTTGTACAATGAGGAAAACAATAGTTATACCTTGAATACGTATATATAGATGCCTACATATATCTTTACTTATATATATCTTTATATATGTATGTCTGTATAAGTATGTGTATATATGTATATATATGTATATGTGCATGTATATACATGTGTGTGTATATATATATATATATATATGCTTTTTCCCTACAAAAGAGTGAAAAACTCTTTTTCTTTTTTTTTTCTTTTTGTTTAAAGATTTTATTTTTTCCTTTTTCTCCCCAAAGCCCCCCGGTACATAGTTGTGTATTCTTCGTTGTGGGTTCCTCTAGCTGTGGCATGTGGGACGCCGCCTCAGCGTGGTCTGACGAGCAGTGCCATGTCCGCGCCCAGGATTCGAACCGACGAAACACTGGGCCGCCTGCAGCGGAGCGCGCGAACTTAACCACTCGGCCACGGGGCCAGCCCCGAAAAACTCTTTTTCTACATATACTTCTATGATTTCTGATTCATCCTCATGCACATTGAGTCAATCTTGTTTTTTTGTCTCCTTAAAAAAATTTTTTTTTTTAATTGTGGTGAAATGTACATAACATGAAGAGCTGGCCCCATGGCTTAGTGGTTAAGTTTGGCACGCTCCACTTCAGTGGCCCAGGTTTGGTTCCTGGGCATGGACCTACACCACTCTTTGGTGGCCATGCAGTGGTGGCGACCCACATGCAAGGTGGAGGAGGATTGGCACAGATGTTAGCTCAGTTGAATGTTCCTCAAGCAAGAAGAGGAAGATTGGCAACAGATGTTAGCTCAGGGTGAATCTTCCTCAGCAGAAAACCAAAAACAAAACCCATGAAATTTATTATCTTAATCTTTTAAAAGTGTACAGCTCAGTAGTGTTAAGTTCATTTACATTGTCATGCAACCAATCTCCAGAACTCTTTTCATCTTATAAAACTGAAACTTTATACCCATTAAACAACAACTCCCCCATTCCCCACTACCCTCCAGCCCCTGGCAACCACCATTCTACTTTTGGCTCTATAAATTTGATAACTCTGATACCTCATCTAAGTGGAATCATACGATATTTGTTTTTTTATGACTGGCTTATCTTGCTTAGCATAATGCTTTCAAGGCTTATCCATGTTGTGGTGTATGTCAGAATTTCCTTCCATTTTAAGGCTGAGTAATATCCTGTGGTGTGCATTATACCATCTTTTGTTTATACATTCATCCAGTGATGGACATTTGAGTTGCTTCCACCTTTTGGTTATTGCGAATAATGCTGCTATGAACATGAGTGTCCAAATATCTTTTCATGACCCCTTTCAACTTTTTTGAATAAACATCTGGAAGTGGGATTGCTGGATCACATGATAATTCTATTTTTAGTTTTTTGAAGAAGTGCTAGACTATTTTCCGTAGTGGCTGAGCCGTTTTACATCTCCACCAACAGTACACAAGGGTTCCAATTTCTGCACATCCTTGCCAGCCTTTGCTACTTTCTGTCTTTTTGATAGTAGCTGTCCTAAAGGGATGTGAGGTTATAGTTAGGTTTTACGTCTATAGATTGAGATTGGGAATGGGCATATGCCATTTATTGGTTGGTTTGAGAGCTTGTAAAAATATTTTCAATTAGACTACTTTCCAAGGCAATCTCATAGCCTTCATTCCATGTTTCTCTTTCTAATGCACTTTTTTCTTGTCTAAACAGCTGTAATGTCATAAATTTTTGAAAAGTCCCCACTTCTAATGACTTCTTTTCCTCAGCCATGAATCTACCAGGAGCCTCAACTCAAAAATACCACAGTAAAATTAAAATTATTATGTATATATTCATATATATATATATATATATATATATATATATATACACATACACACAGACACATAAACATATGCTGCATGGATTAATAGTGGGTACAGGAATGACTCCCTCAAAGTAAAAATAAGTCAGTATTAGCACAAGAAGGGGCAAGTGTTTGACGGGACACAAAATCTACCAAAGTCTACTGCACAATGTCTCCTGTTTAGAGAAATTTTCCTTGTTCCCCACTGCCTTAAGCACTTATCTCTCTCAAAAATTTGAAAATGAGAATGAATAACATTTTCCATAGGTTAAAAGATTTAAAAAATTGATATTGCATTGGAGCTTTCTAGAAATCTACTCATGAGAACAGAGATGTAGAAAGGCCTTATGGGAGAATTGTCTCCTTATGTTCCTTTGTTACTTGACAAAGGAAAGGATACAAGACGACCCTCACACCAAACTCCACTTCATAGAGAGAGATGCCGTAGTGCAAGCATGATGTAGAGAATCAAGACTTGAAAGTTTTCACTGGACTAGTCTAACTCTGAAAGGTGTTAAAATTCCATCTCTTTCATCTCTTTCAATGAAATACTAGGAGTAATTCCACTTTCCTACGTGTAAAGTGAGGGGAGAGTAGGGCAAATTAAAGTTTCAAAGCTTCAGTTCTCCTCCTTGATAATAACTACTGAAGAAGGGCACAAGTGGAATTTTCAAAGGACCTCTGTTCCCAGTGTTGAATTCTGTGAAATGAAGCAATTAAGTGACTTGGTTAATTCTATTTATTTAAAAAATTGTCCCATTAGTTCTTCCTCATTTTCTAATATGCAAAAAAACTCAGAAATAAGGAGCTACAGGTCCTGTTCATTACTTAAGAGAAGAGCTGTTTGCCAACAACAAACGGCATTGTTGGGGGGAGAGTTTTCAAATATCAATAACTTTCATTATAAGGTGTCCCATCACACCAAACACTGTTGATGGCTTAAAATTCTTAAGAACAGGTTCAGGAATTTTGACCTTACTAATTATTTCAAAGTGGGTACAAAAGAGAGGTAAACTATTATAAAATTGTGTTTTCTACTCAAAGCACCTGAAAAGCAGTATTTGAAACTTCCTGCAGTTTGAAATAAGCAGCGTGGCTTAGTGTTTCTAATATATGAGAGAATATCACACTTGTGGGTGTATTTTCAGCTCATTTCTAGAGGACGAGTTGTAGAGCACAAAAGAGTCAACCCAGAAGGGAAATGGAAGACGTAAAGATTGAACGGTGTTCTAACTTCTGTTTACCCTACATGAAAGCTGCACATCTGTGAGCCAATTTTCTAGAGATTAATAGCTTAGAGCTGCTAACCTTGAGCTGCCCAAGGAGGGTCAGCATGGGAATATTACTGAGTAAATGGAAGAAAACAAATTCACAAACACCAGATTAAATGCAATTGGAAACAAGATGAAAGGTTCAACAATTTTTCTCGAGAGGTTTTCTCAGGAAAGATCTGGGAAAATCTGAGAAAGTCTTTCCCAAAACGTTCATAAAGTTGAAGAGAGAAATGAAGGCAGTGGTGAGAGAAGCTGGGCTGAGGATGGGAGAAAAAATGAGCCTGACAGCTCTGTGCACTTAAGATGCAGACAACTACAGTGACTTATTTTTTATGAGGTTTTCTTTGAAGGAACAAGGACATGAAGGACCAGTGGCCATTCTTTCACAATTTGCTTTTGTTTTTCTCAGAAAAAACGTAGAAAGCATATTAGGAGTTTTGATATAGCTTTTTTAAAAAAAATAAAAAATTGGATGAATGTCATAACTTCCTACTACTTTATGGCTTAACAGATCTCTCATTTTATTTCCAGGATTCAAAGAAGATAAAAACTACCAGCACAAAAATAGATTGCTATTTTCCATTTAGAAGCTACTTATTCATAGAAAGAAAGAGAGAGAGAGGTCTTTTAAAAAATCTTTAATGAAGAATTCAGATGATTTTTTCAAGGAAATGTCATATCTTACTATGTTACCCACATATCATAATGTTTTCGTCACAAGATGATCCCAATATTTAACACTAACAATTACACTGCTTTTCCTCAACACAAATTTGTTTTGCGGACTGCTTGGGGTAGAGAGAACTGTGTGAAACGCCATTTTATGAGCCCCATCTAGGGCTGTCAGTTGTTATTTTTACTTTGTTCCCTGAAATTTCAGAATGTGGATGAAGAGTGGTCAAGTCCTACAAAGTCACTGAGGAATAAATTGGAATTGATTATTTATATAAGCCAAATGAAGTCTTGCAGCTCCATACTAAAAAAAATTTTTGGTGGGAGTAGAATTTAAGAACCTCTAGTAAATCCATTTTACCAGAGTATTCTCTTCTAAAAACTAGCCTCACGGCAAAAGACTATACAGACAGTTGTGTGGAACTTAAGAAGCCCCCGCTCCTTCACTGAGCACAGCACCTCCCCTCTGAAACTGAGGAGAGAGCTTCACATTAGAAAGGAGCTCAGTTTTGGTCTTAAGAACTTGTATTTGAATAAACAAATTAAAATTATTTGTAATCAATCTTTGCTTAGTCTAATTTTACACGATAGTTTTAGCTTTCCTTTTGTTCCCCCCTATTTCAGGTTTAGTTGTTTATTTTAGGACACATTACATGAAATGCAAAACAATAAAACCATATATCTTCTGCTTTCTCTCCTCCCTTTTTCGGGCAGTTATGGCTTCCTATGGTTAGATGACAATTAGAGATTAAAGACGGTGATAGAATTAATGTAGACTGGTTTTGTTCTCCACCTGGCCTTAGCACAGATCAAAGAAGATGAATGTCCAGCCATTAGGAAGCAATTAAAACTATTGCCTCACACGGGAGTTTTTGTCCTTGTTCCTCCGTGTATATCACCAAGAACTCCTCATTTTTTTCCTCCTTCTTGTCCACATCTTAACCCAACCTTTTCCAATTACTGAGTGTAAAGAGTGTTTTATTCAGTCCTCCATATTGGCTTTGCAATCCCTCTTGGTGGACAGTTCTGGTGCCTCCTGAGCCATGGTTGAGAGGAGAGACTGAGGAAATCGTCACAAACAACTCATTTTCTAGTCTTCACTAGATGATTGACAGTGGTCAGTTATTTGTGTGGTTACCTTGTCTACTTGAATCAATCAGGATTCAACTTTTGGTTATTTTGTCCTTTGGAATCTTATCCTTCCTGATTCTTTAACTAGCTTTTAATACTAAAACAAACAATAAGCAGGACCTGGCCTCATGGCTAAGGGGTTAAAGTTCCGTGCACGCCGCTTTGGTGGCCCAGTTCGTGGTTTGGATCCTGGGTGCAGACCTATTCCACTCACTGGCCATGCTGTGGCAGTGTCCCACATACAAAAAAATAGAGGAAGATAGCCACAGATGTTAGCTCAGGGCTAATCTTCCTCAAGCAAAAAGAGGAGGATTGGCAGAAGATGTTAGCTCAGGGTGAATCTAACTTGGAAGAAAAAAAGCAAATTTAATTTTAGGTGTAAAAACTTAGGGAAGAAATAATTATGCTCCCTTAACTAATATTCTAATACATTCTATCTATCCATACCCCTAAGATACAGTGGGTTTTGTCTTAAAGAGTTACACTCATCAAAACTGGTTGGCATCTATTCTATTAATGGTTAAGGCCAGTCTTAGGGAACTTTGAGAAGTAGCTATACGATCTTTAGTGCCTCCCTCCCCAGTTTTGATTTTGACCAGCCCCTTTTCTTCTCTTGGTCTTTCTTTTCTGTCCTCACTATAGTCTTCTGTCTTCTCAAAGGCCACGCACGCCCAGCTCCCTGCTTCCACAGACACTAGTATTTTTCTCCAACAGTATTGCTGAAAGTTCTTCATATCTTTCCAGACTTTCTCTTCCTTTTGTCATCAAAGTTTTCTTCACCTCTATCCTAATATAGTCCTATCAAGTTACTGGTAAATTTAGCCAAAATTTAAACTAAATGCTAAAGGCTGATGTAAAATAGTTTATATTTATATTTTGACCTAACGGAGTTAGGAGTTGTGAATTTCAGGCCTCTGTCAGAGCCAGTGAGAAAGATATCTTTAGATAAGGTTTCTCCTACTAGAGATAATTAGATCATATCCATCTTCAAACGAACAACAGAGACGGGAGAAATGCCCTGGGAAGAGCCAAACGTGTATGTGAAGGACCTGACCCTCATCGGCCTCCGTATATTTTGCATCACTGCTTTTCCTCCGTCATCACCTCAGAGGCTTTAAAACTTTCTGCGAAACGTGATGAGGCTGTTATGGGTGGCATTCATGAGGGATGTTTCTCTTCTAGTTGGAATCTCCTTATGCTGTCTGAACTACAGAGGCCAAATTCTCTTCAGGGCTAGAATGTAGAATGTAGTATTTCATGTGCAAAATTTTCTTTTGTTATGAGACCAGATCAGTACGATATAGACTAATGGTAGTCTTAATAAAATACTTTTTAGTTCTTCACTTATAATTTTAGATGGAAACTTTCTATTTAAGACTGTGAATAGGTCATAGCTTACTCTGCTTAACTTTTCCTATAGTATTCCTTATTATGGCTAAGTTTAAGAGGGCATTTAAAATATACTACTTGAGGAAGAGACTAAGAAACAATTATTACCTGATTTTGAATCTTATATTTTAAAAAACTGTGATTTTAGTGTTACAAGCACTAGTAACTTGACAATTGCTTTATCATTTTTAACCTTAATTATAAAATATAGGTTCCCGCTAGAGCACCGATGAAGAGATTCTCACCTTTGGAAACAGAAGCGTAAGTAAAACAGTTTTTATTAACCTAAAATTCATGTTGATTAATTTGCCACACAGGCATTCATAATATGCAAAGGCTGATGAGTTCCTGACAGCAAAGGAATTATAGTTATAATGCTCCCCCCAAAAAGGAAACTGTTATTCACATGTTTTATGATTTAAAATTTTTATTTTTCCATAATGCAGTGAATTAAATTCAGCCATCATTTACTGAAGTCTGTTGCCTGGGGGCTTGGAACATTCTTGATATTTAGCAAGCAGGAAAACTAAACTAAAATTGTGACTTATGAATAATGAAACAGACAAATCTGCTCTCTCTGGTGAGATGGAAATAAATATTGTACACCTTTCCAAATATTTGTTTATTTGTCCATTTTAGTCACTCTTGCCCACAGGATTAAGTTTTTTTCCCTCCTCTCTTTTTAAATGGAAATGACTAGAAGGTGGTCCCAGTTGAGAAATGTATTTTTAGAAATACTGAGGTTTTTATTCCCTTAGTAAGCATTGTTGGCTGTTTGCAGTTATATATCTCTTTTAATAAAAAATGAATAATACATAGTAAGGGTTAATGATGATGGTTAGGCTTCTGAAGTAGGGGAATATTCTCGAATTAAAGCTTCCTTTCCTAGTGAGAAAGTGACCTAGAAACTGGGATATCTGGACTCATCAGCCTTAGGGAGGGTCAAGAGATACAAGTCATCTCTGAAGTTTGCCTTTAGGTTCCATGAACAAGTCCCAGCCGGCGGGTATATCTGATTCATGGGCTTGACATGCTTCCACCTGTCACAGAGGTGTCTTGGGGAAGCCAAGGCTGCTGCTGAGTCATCAGTCACCCAAAGGCTTGCCGTAAGCAGGCAGTCTGGAATCCTTTTCCTTAATTGTGTTTCCCGAGCTGTGTTCACTGTTATAAGCAAACATGGTTCTGGTGGCCACATTGTCTGAAAAGGCAGGCTTTCAGATCGTTTTATTTTTTTTCAGCTAGTACCTCTCCTGACTCGGGTAGTTGGTATGTTTGACAGTGTTTAAGTTCAGCCTATTTTGAAATACTGTACTTATGATTGTATGACCATATTAGGAATAAACTTCTTTTTGTATAGTCGTCTTAATATTTGAATATTTGAAGATAAGGGATGAATTCAGAAATTGAATTTCTCTTTCAGGTTTATCTTTTCTTCTTGACAAATTGGTAGCTACTCTAGAATGACTTTAAGCCAGAGCCTGAACTCTTTTCTTGCCTTGGTCAAGGTGGGATCCCCAGCCTTCAATAGGATCAGCTAAAAGGGCAATGCTGCCTGTTCCATCCCTGGAGAAGGGAGGAGACAGGGTTTTAGCTATTCCTGGGCTTAATAGTATAATATGATTATTTTATTTAGAAGACTTCCCGTATCTTAGCCGTATTCAAATATAACAGTACTGTTGGTTATGTGCTAAGTGTTTGGTACATTATTTCATTTAATACCTAAGCAGTAGTTATTATTGTTAGCATTTTTATGGATGGGGGTTCTGAAACACAGAAAGGTTTACTAATCTGCCCCAAGGTCACAGTTTGTAAGAAGTAGAGCCAGTCGCTGACCTCAGGGCTCTCTGACTCTACGACTCATTCTCTTAACCACTGTGGTGGTGACTGACAGGAACCAGACCAAAGAAAATGAGTCAAACTCTTGTTCCATCTTTTCCTGATGATTCCTCCTGGCTCTGTCCTGTAATGACCATTTTAGAAACTGAGCAGGAAATGTGCACTTCAGTGATTTCAGGGATTCTAAAATGCAACCCCCCCATTTTAACATCTCTTAAATTGGGGTATATTATCATCGCTGAGCTTTTATAATTACTAACTACCAGATAACAGTTGTGACATAGTTGTCATTGCCTTAACCAATTCATTGTTCTTCTATTTTCCTTTTATATGTATAGGATAGAGTGAGACAATAAAGAAAGTCAATGTCAAAATAAGACTAAAAGAGCTCTTTCTCTAAATGTAAAATAAAAATTTTGAATGATATGAGAGTAACTTGTTACACTTTAATTGTCAGTGCAGTGTTTTTCTTTCTTATTAGACATAAAATAGTGTGTTAAACAGCATCTTAGATTCAATAAGTTACAGTATGTGTTATGTCTCTACAATGGGCACAGATTCCATTAGTATTAAGAAGAAAAAGCACCAGTACTACATTTTTCATTGTGCGTGCTAAATTGTAAATTTCTTGCCAATTGTATCATCTTTATATCTCTCTATCATCCAGTGGAGTGCCATGCAAGTGATAGGTACTGAATAAATCTATGTTGAATTGAATGTGTATGAGACTGATTTTTTTGTGTTTCCCATAAGGGAAATTTGAAACAAGAGTTCCAGAAATATTTTAAGCAGTGTCAGCATCACTATAATTATTGTAGAACCTCCTACGATGATGACCTCCTTGAAATATCATGCTAATTTTAATGTATTCATCATAAAGAGGGGTGGCCTCCTCAAAAGGGCACAGTTTAGGAAGTCAGGAGATTTTAATTTTAATCCTGCCACAACCTTCCTATGACATTTTGGGTAAATCATTAAACCACGTCCTGAGCCATACATAAGAATAATAATTAACAGTTATCATAGCTGTTGTACATGGTCAAAGTCATTGTGACTCTAAGTGAAATTATAAATGCAAAATCGTTCTAAAAGCTTTAGAAAATGCTTACAAATATAATGCATTAAAATTTTTTATGGAGGTATAGTTGACATAACAGTATATTAGTTTCACTTGTACAACATAATGATTTGATACTTGTATGTACTGCAAAATGGTCACCACAGAAAGTCCAGTTAACATCTGTCCATCATACATAGTTACAAAAAATTTTTCTTTCTTGTGATGAGAACTTTCAAGATCCACTCTCCTAGCTACTTTCAATATGCAACACAGTATTATATAATGTATTATTGTAAATAAAACTGTCTCAATTTAGAGAGCTGGGAGTTTCCAACAGAGCCAATCAGAAGCAGGAGCCCCAGCTTGTTATGAAAATCGTCAGGACAGAGACTGTCCTACTCATTTTCTTCTTGGCACTGTTCTTGGCACAGTAAGTGTTCAGTACATGTTTGTTTAATGAGAGAATAAATTAACATAGGCAGAACAAATAACTAAAATGGGGAATATCCATAGATTTTATTCTCATAAAATTTCGTAATCATTAGAAAAGCAAGACAGACAAATGGGAATACCTCACTTCCCCTCAATTTGGCGCTAGGGTTGAAGGTCAACGTTGCTAGGATTACATGCTACTTAAAAAAAATCCTGCCCCTTTGTTCTTGATCTGATATACTTGAAATTTCTGGGCAGAAATGATACCATTTTGCATAAGAAAATTTTATTCTGGAAACTGCAACTTTCCATACTAATAGTCACTATGTAGCTAGTAAGCTGTGGAAATTGGAGTCTTATTAATACTTATTACAAATACCAATAACTGCAGGTAGAATTTTCATGTTTCAAAATTCATCATAGCAGATTTGCTCATCAATCCGGAAAAAGACACATTTAACATGACTTCGACACTTGAATCACATGTTTTAAATCATGCAAATAAGCCTGTCTCTCTCAAAGCTGTGAGCACAATTAACAAAGGCAAAGTATATATTTTTCAAAAAAAAAAGGAAAACAGAACTGATTCAGGAATATGATATGCTGCCTCTTGGTGGCACTCTTTACTCATTTAAAGCAACTTTGATGGTGAGAAAAAATGTGTTTGTAATAAAGGAAAGTGACATCCAGGGAGAATTTCAATAGTCTAATTTTAGACATAGCATTCAGGTGTTTTGGCATTCTGATAGCCCAGATCGGTTGGAGCTTGCCAGTGTGCTGGTAGGTCTAAGGAACGCCACTCAGGTTATGGAATGCATCAGGTTTGCATATAATGATGTTTTTACACTGCAAAATTTGGCATATTCGATTTAGCTCTTTCATTTTCTTTTGTCTCCATTCTGGAGGACACGGTTTTAAAAGCCTGACCAGGATATGGACAGTAAATAAACAGAATGAATGATTTTCTAAAAGAAGTTTCTCCTGTTAAAAAGAAATAACTTGGATCAGTAAAAATCCAGCAAAATAATGCATGAAAACCTTTTGGTTACTGGATGGCTAAGCCTTATTTACAAATAAGATTTAGAAAAAGGTAATCAAACAGCAGCTGTCATGAGACAGTTTATTCATTAAAGAGCATTTTTTAGGTATGCAAATTGGGGTAAATGTACACACATAACACTGAATGGAATGGGGTTGTTGTTAAGTCAGTCAGAATGCAGACTGTTAATAATGACATCCTGGCCAACTGTCACTCTTTCACGTGATCAGCCACCATTACAAAGGTTTAATTCAACATCAATCATTTTAATAGACCATTAGAAAGGAAATTGTATTAGAATATGGTCAGTAGGATACATGGGAATGGAAATTTCTGACTCTGTCTTATTCTTGCTATATATGAAAATAGTCAATGCTAACCATTTTTCAGCATTTGGATAGGGGGTGGAAAACATTAAAGACCCATGCCTATCTTCATTACAATCACAGCATCTGGGCAACAGTCCCAGCCTCCAGCATAAAGAACCTCCCAGAGCATAGCACATTATTGAGTACAGTTCAGCTTTATCAGCTGTGGCATCAATCACATTCAGAATAGTTGTATCAGGTCTCCACCCAAGCCACTCAATTATGAAAATTTGTCCAATGCAGAACTAGCATGCCATTGCATTAGAAATCCGTTTAGACAAGCTCACTGACACTAAGATACCACGTTCCCCATTTTGATATATGAAGTTCATTGAGAAGCAGCCACATATTTTAGGACATTGTTTCTCCAAGTATAGCCTGAGAATGAACACGCTTCCAGATCCTAAATGATGGCTAAAATGCACATTTCCAGGCCCTACTGAAGGAATGGGGATTAGCATGGGCTGTCACTATTTTTAACAAGTTTTCTGAGTGGTTCTTGTGCTTACTAAAGTTTAAGAACCACTGTTTGGGGAGGGGCAGCTCTTGTGACGATTTAAACATCAGACATAATTCCTGTTTTCTGCAGCACGTGCTTGCTACTGTTCATCTTAACAGTGAGAGGGTTTTTACTTCCAATCACTCTCTAGGGTTCTTTGGAAGCCGAGATTGGGATTTAGAAATTTAGAGTGTATCAAGTATCACAGAGCCAGACAAGCTTAGAACTTAAACTACAGAAGAGTATTTTGCTTGAATTTTTGGCTTACGAGAAATATACTGTTTTCACAAATAGTACGTGTCCCCCATATAAATATCCAAGGATAATGCTTAGAGATGGTACTTTCCCAGGGAACTAACATTTGTTGACCATCTACTCTGGGACACATCCTCTACATTGTGATCTTCCAATTACCCCAAAGTTACCCTCTTCAATCTCCTATTCATCTATTGCAGGAAATGCTGTGCATGAATCATCATGGAAGCGTGATAAAGGCCGTGGTGGGGATGTTTTGCTCACTGTTAATGAGGTTGTCTTGGGGACATTTGAAGTATTATTGTTAAGATGCGCT